GACTGTCTCCGGGATTGGGAGGCTGGGGAACGGGCGGCTGGGGAAGGGGCGAGTGGCGCACTTACCTTTCCTGGGGCCCAGTCCATCCTGTATGGGTGGACTAAGACCCTGCAAAGCACAGTTCGATTAAAACACTGGCCATGGGGGCCAGCATCGTGGTTAAGCTGCTGCCTACAATGCCAGCGTCCCACATGGGTGCCCGTTCCTGTCCCGGCTGCTCCCTTCCCAATCCAGCAGCCCTGCGGATGCACCTGCAAAGCAGTGGAAGGTGGCCCTTGTCACCCACTGGGAGACCCAGATCAAGTTCCAGGCTCCTGGCCCAGCCCCCGATGTGGCAGCTACTTGGGGGAGTGAACCAGATGGAAAATCTCTCTCTCTCTGTAACTCTTTCAAATAAATACAGAAATCCTAAAAACATAAAAATTAAAAATCTCAACCATCTAATCATAGAGCTGGTGACCAGCCTCCATCCTGAAGCTACCTAGGGACCTGGCCTGAGTCCTTTATTAGCAAAACCTCCAGTGTGCTCTAAGGGATTCATGAATAACAAGGCATTTCTACCAGGAAATCCCATCCGGAAGCTATAGGGTAGGCGCTTGGCACAGCAGTCAGCCTGCACTTGGGACACCTGCATCCCCTACCAAGTGCCTTGGTTCAAGTCCCAGCTCTGCTGCTGACCCGTTTCCTGCTCATGCGCACCCTGGGAGGCAGCAGATGATGGCTCAAGTTCTTGGGTGCCTACCACCCACGTGGGAGCCCTGGATAGAGTTCCTGGCTGCTGGCTCCCGGCCCTGGATGTTGGGGGCATTTGAGGAATGAATCAGCAGGTGGGTGGTGGTCTTCCTTCCCTCCCCTTCTCCCTTCTCCTTCTTCCTCCTCTCTCTCCCAAGCCCCTTTCATCTGATGCACGGACTGGGGTGGTGGCCATGATCTTTTCCTGCAGGCAGAGCAAACCCGGGAGCTCTGGGCCATCCGGCAGCCTATGGGGGGACAGTCTCCTTGGGAAGGAGGCAGCTCCAAGGAAAACTGCTCCCAGAGCCCGAGACCAGGTTCCAATGGACATCTTTTCAGCTTCTGGTTTTAACCATGCCTAAAGGCATTTTGAGTTTCAATACTCCTTGAGGGGCTGGTGTTGTGGTATAATGGGCCCTGCCTGCCATGCCGGCATCCTATATGGGCACCATTTCGAGCCCTGGCTGCCCCACTTTCGATCCAGCTCCCTGTTAATGCACCTGGGAGAGCAGCAGCAGATGGCCCAAGTGCTTGGGCCTCTGTACCCAAGAGAAAGACCCACATGAAGCTGCTGGCTCCTGACTTTGGCCTGCCCCTGCCCCGGTCATTGCAGTCATTTGGGGAGTGAACAAGTGGATAGATCTCTCTCTCTCTCTCTCTCTCTCTCTACCTTTCAAATAAATCATTTTTAAAATTATTTATTTATTAATTTGAGAGGCAGAGTTACAGACATGGGGAGACACAGGGGGAGAGAGAGAGAGAAAGGTATTCCATTCACTGGTTCACTCCCCAAATGGCCACAACAGCCAGAGCTAGTCCAATCCGAACCCAGGAGCCAGGACTTTTTCCGGGTCTCCCACATAGGTGCAGGGACCCTAGCACCTGGGCCATCTTCTACTGCTTTCCCAGGCCACAGCAGAGAGCTGGATCAGCAGAGGAGCAGCCGGGACGTGAACCGGCACCCACATGGGACGCCGGCACTGCAAGCAGAGGCCTACCCTACTACGCCACAGCACCGGCCCTAATAAAATAAATGTACAAAAACAAAACAAAACAAAACTCATTGAACCAGTAAACTCCTTTGCAAGTGTAAACGAAGTGAAATTGGAGTTTCCATGATGGATAGCTGAAAACATCCTGGGTAGTCCCCGTCTGAGGAAGCGCCCGTCCGCCTTGGTTTATCCCGGGACTCCGGGGCCTGATCCTCTCCCCTCTTTCCCAGAAGCTCGTTCCTTCCGTGACCTTCCTCTCAACCGGCGCTTCCCCCAGACTCCCAACATATTCCTATCTCCCCACGCTCTCAAACCACCAGGCTCATCCCTGTTCTGTGCTTCTCGACCAAGTGGTATAGGAAAGCTCTCCACATTCCTTTTTATCAAGATTTATTTATTTGAAAGTCAGAGTTACAGAGAGAGAGAGAGAGAGAGAGAGAGAGAGAGAGAGAGAGAGAGAGAAAGTCTTCCATCCGCTGGTTCACACCCCAATTGACTGCAATGGCCAGAGTTGTGCTGATCTGAAGCCAGGAGCCAGCAGCTTCTTCCAGGTCTCCCACGCGGGTGCAGCGGCCCAAAGACTTGGACCATCTTCTACTGCTTTCCCAGGCCACAGCAGAGAGCTGGACTGGAAGTGGAGCAGCCGGGACTCAAATCGGCACCCATATGGGATGCTGGCGCTGCAGACAGTGGCTTTACCCGCTACGTCACAGCGCCAGCTCCTGAACTTTTTTTTTTTTTTTTTTTTTGACAGGCAGAGTGGACAGTGAGAGAGAGAGACAGAGAAAAAGGTCTTCCCTTTCCTTTGGTTCACCCCCCAATGGCCAGCCACTGCTGCACTGATCCGAAGGCAGGAGCCAGGTGCTTCTCTTGGTCTCCCATGCGGGTGCAGGGCCCAAGCACTTGGGCCATCCTCCACTGCACTCCCGGGCCACAGCAGAGAGCTGGCCTGGAAGAGGGGCAACCAGGACAGAATCTGGCGCCCAGAACAGGACTAGAACCCAGGGTGCCAGCGCCGCAGGCGGAGGATTAGCTTAGTGAGCCACGGTGCCGTCCATTCTGAACTTTTAAATACATCTGTTAGGTAGGAAGTCAGTTATGAGCTTATGTGTGTGTGACATAAAGGCCTAAAGAGAAGACATCTATGTCCAGCATATGCATCTGCATCTCAAAGTCATCCTGATGGTGTTTCAGGGGCAGCCCGGTATTCACATTCTGCCCTGCCTGACCCCTTCTACCTGATAAACTGCCAGGTGCGGGATCCCCACCCCTTCTGCCTGACAAATCCACAATCTCCCAGATGCAGCCCAGTATCTGCATTTCAAACACCCTGCTCTGGAATCCCCATTTTCTAGGGGGTCCTGCCCTTCCTCTGAACCCAGGATGGTGCCAGCTAGGCTTCCTCCAGTCCGATACCTTCAGGGGAAAACTCAGATAGAAGTTTTTCTATTTACATCCAAAAAGCCCTTTGTTCCAAGAGGAGCAGAGGTGGGGAAGCAAGACCCATCTCCTTACCACCACCACCACCACCACCACCACCACCACCACCACCACCCCACCCCCACCCCTGCCCTCAACCGGACTGCACGCTCAGCCCTCTGCCTCTCTGCTGAGTTGCCCGCCTGGTCTGGCCAGGTGTAATCTCTGCACTCTCTCTCAGGTCCTGTCTGGAGAGGTGCCCATCCATCCTTGCGGATGTCCCTTCCCTAATAAACTTTGCTACTTTTACCTCCCACTACTCTCTGTCTCACACCTGAATTCTTTCTTGCGCGAAGACAAGAACCCTGCAATTTCTCCGGTAACACATCCTTTACCCACGAGTCCTGTCTAGAGGAGGAGGAACCGTCACCCAGGCCTCAGCTCTTCCTACTTCTCTTTCTTGGCCTGCTGAGCGTTGACTGTTCCCCAGAATGAAGCCCCAGGCCCTCTCCTCTCTGCATACATCACCTTGACAAGCCCATTCGTGACCACGGCTTCCATGATGGCCACACACCAACTGCAAGAGGCAGGTACCAAACCCAGGCATCCCGATGTGGGCTGTGAGCATTCTGACCGGAGTCTTAACGGCTAGAGCGAACGCCTAGCCCGGAACACCCTCATGTGAGTCGGCGCTCTTATCCACCGGTACCTCTCAGACGACTCGCCTCTGTATTCCAGAGGCACTTAATTCTTAAATCCGTCTGCCAGTCTTGGAAATTTTATTGGGAACCTCAGAAGAGAGAGACGCTCCTTCGACTACAGTTCGTGAGCTCTGGGACTGAAGTTTGGAGCTATGCAAATCTTGCCACTAAGATGAGCCAACCAAAGGCCCAGACAGCAGAACCACGGGTGCTGAGCCGCTGGTTCTGGATACCGCTGGGCCCCTGGATTCACCTGTTCCCGGAGAAGCGTGATTCGTTTCGCACTTTGCAATAACTCGATCCCTGAATTCCTTTACTGTTCAGGTCAGTCGGAGCGGGGCCAGTGAGAGACTGTTACATGGTTTCAATGACCCGCTATACCTTAACGGTCCTCAATTTCCATAACCGGCCTCGGTGCGGCTCTTGCGCTCCGGGATTGCATGTCCACCCACCTCCCGATGTCCCACAGACACATCCCAAACTGGCCATCACTCCCCTCCCCACCTGTATCTCCCGCCAGAGCGATGAACTTCCTCGAAGGCCTGCCCCGCTCCTAAAGAAACCAAGGTCGTAAGTTCAGGCTCCGCCTCCTCGCGGGGCCTTCCCCAAGGTCACCTGCCTCGTTCCTCGGCCCAGATTCTTGGGGGCGGTCTCCGCAACCCCCTCAGTACCAAAGCCAGGCGCTCTAGGCTGCAGCGGGTCCTCCCAGAAGCCTGAGCGTCTCGCTGGTTTCCGGTCCTCCGCGGCTACTCTAGCCCTCGGTAAGAGCTCGGCTTCTCTATGGTTGGCGGCTCTTCTTTTTTGTCCCGACTCTCTCCCGGAGGACTCTCTGGCCGGACACAACCCCTTCCCACGTCGGCCTCTTCACCAGAGAACTCCCTGAAGTACAACAAGACAGCCACGCTCTCGGCTCCCGAGCTGTCGGCGCGGAGTAGAAGGATGGCGGAAGTGAGTATGACAGCGCCCGCCCCTCTCCTCTATGGTCGCTTCCTTCGGCGACGGGAAAAGGGGGTCCCCGCGCCTGCGCAGAGCCGGGCTAGGCGCTCGTCGCTGAGGTGGGGGGGTGGGGGGTGCAGGGAGCGGGAGCCGCCGCCGCCGCCGCCGCCGGAGCTAAACCGCGGGGACCGAGATGCAGGTGGGACCGGAACCGGAACCCCCCCTCTTCAAGTGCCTCTTCCCTCTCCGCGACCCGGCCCCGGAGCCTGCGAGGAGCCCTGGTGGGGGTGGGCGTGGGGGTCCGGGGACAGCAGGGACGCTCGGCCCGGGAGAGTGCAGCTGACAGGACTGGTCCCTAGAAGACTGAGACACCTTCCCCTCCCCCGGGAATGGGCCGGTGCGGGGTGTCCAGGGAGTAGGGTCGGGTCGGAGTGGATGGACCACGGGCCCCAGAGGGTCTTGAGCCGGGAGCGGAGCCTGCACCCTCCACCACCCGCCCTTCGGGAAATAGCAGAGCTGTGTGCCAAGAGGCAGGTGCACGGGGGAAAATGTGTCAGAGTCCTCCCGCTTGGCAGAAGAGAAACTGAGTCACCAGCCTAGGAGCTGCAGGGTCAGCGGGCCTGACGGGGGCTGGGGGGAGGCCACTGTGAGTGGAGCCGGCCCCGGGCTGGACACCGCTCTCCGCTGGGTCCGCATCTCTTGGCTCGGTTTCCCCGCGCTCCATGACTCCCGCATCTCCTGGCCGCTTTTCGTGGGTGTGGAGTTGTCCCAGTGGTCGGGGCCATCTGAGTGTGTAAGGCCTAGGCCAGGGAGGAGGGGAGGGGTGGCCCGGGTTACAGCCTGGCTGGGTGGGGGGGTGCGGTTTGGGGAGCCTCTCCTGAGCTGTTCTCGCCCAAGTCCCGGGGCCACCACCTTCCCCTAAAAGCAGGAGGGAGGAGCCAAAGGTTGTAAATTCCACACGCAGCTGGTCGTGAGAACTTGGGAAAGCGCTTCCTTTTAGGACACTTGGACCCTGGCACTGCCCTCCCCCATAGAGGAGTAATAGTGGCGGGTGCGTTTCTTGTGCGCTTATTTTGTGCCGCGCGCCAGCTTGTTCCAGTCCCTGGGATTCCCCGACCAGTTCCAGGCGGTAGGGATCATCGGGTCTGTCTTCCCAGTCACGAAACCTGAGGCTCAGAGAGAGACAGAGAGGACCGTGCGTTTGCTCGAGATCACACAGCTAATAGGTGCCTGAGCTGGGGTTTCAGTCCAGGCCTGACTTCAGAACCTATTAACCACCAGGCTAACCGGCCTTTAGGGCACGCTCCCCAGTGAGAAGAGGGAAGTTAAAAAAACAACAACAACAAACCCTAGGATCTTTCCCAACACCTCTTCCCCCCTCCCTGGGACGTTTTATTTGTGTTGTGGCCAGCAACGATTTGCCCTGATACAGCTTAGGCCTAGTCTCCTCTGCTTGTGCCGCCTCTGGGCCCCAGACTGGAGAGGCACGGAAGGACTGGGCCGGGGCTGGGGCGCTAGGCTTTCGAGACCGCTGCTTCCGTCCACCGGCACCCATCCATCCGCCTTGCCGAGCAGCCGCGCACGGGGATGTCTGAGGCGGGCTCCGCAGTCCCAGCTCCCCTCGGGCCCCCGAGAGCCGGGGTGGTAAGGGGCCGAGGCTGCGGCTGGTCCAGCCGATCCCTGGGGGACACGCTGTGCAGTGGGAGAAACGGTAGGCTTGGAGCTCGGAGCCTTGTCTGAGCCTCAGGTGGTAGACGCTCTCCCAAGGAAAGGTAAGGTGAGCACCTGGAAGCTTCTGGAATGGCCCACGGGAAGCGTGTAAGACACGCCGGAGCGTCCGTCTTAGAAAAGGAAGGGACCCAGAAGAGATTCCTCTGGGGAGGCAGGTGGGCGGCCAAGGCAGGGCCGGGGTCGGGAAGGCGAGACACTGGGCCGATGGTTTCCCAGGACTGGGCCAGGAGCAGGTTGGGTCTCTTCCCCATTGCATTGCAACAGGGGGTCTCCGGCTGCTTGGGTGGGGGCAACCTGCCCCCAGTCGCAGCTCTGCGGTGACCCCTCCGTGTGCTTCTCTCTTCTGCAGCTGCTGCCGCTCACCCCGTGTCTCCTGGCCGCTTCCCTCTTTGCTGCCCCTCCCCGCAGGCTCCCCCACTCTGCCTCCTGGGGGCCATCATGAATGGTGCCCCTTCCCCAGAGGATGGGGCCTCCCCGCCCCCGCTGCCGCCGCCCCCTCCCCCCAGCTGGAGGGAGTTCTGTGAGTCCCATGCCCGGGCTGCCGCCCTGGACTTCGCCCGCCGCTTCCGCCTCTACCTGGCCTCGCACCCGCAGTACGCGGGGCCCGGGGCCGAGGCCGCCTTCTCCCGCCGATTCGCCGAACTCTTCCTCCAGCACTTCGAAGCAGAGGTGGCCCGGGCCTCGGGCTCCCTCTCGCCGCCACCGGTGCCGGCCCCGCTGAGTCCCGGCCTGGAGATCCCGCCCCACGACCTGCCCCTTGAGAGCTGCAGGGCGGGCGGGCCCCTGGCCGTGCTGGGCCCTTCTCGCTCATCCGAGGACCTGGCCGGCCCCCTCCCTTCCTCAGTCTCCTCTACAACGACCTCCTCCTCGAAGCCGAAGCTCAAGAAGCGCTTCTCCCTCCGCTCAGTGGGCCGCTCGGTCCGGGGGTCGGTGCGTGGTATCCTGCAGTGGCGGGGCACCGTGGACCCTCCCTCCTCGGCCGGGCCCCTGGAGACGGCGTCAGGCCCCCTGGTCTTGGGCGGAAACACCAACTCCAACTCCTCTGGTGGAGCCGGGACCGTTGGCCGGGGACTGGCCAGTGACGGCCCCTCCCCCGGGGAGAGGTGGACTCACCGTTTCGAGAGGCTGAGACTGAGTCGGGGAGGGGGCGGCCCGAAGGAAGGGGCAGGGACGGTGCAGAGGGAAGAGCTGCTGAGTTTCATGGGGGCTGAAGAGGCAGCCCCCGAGCCAGCCGGAGTGGGCCGGGCCGGGGGGACAGCTGGGCTGGCGGCGGGGGCCGGGGGGCCGCCCCAGTGGCAGAAGTGTCGCTTGCTGCTCCGAAGCGAAGGAGAAGGAGGAGGAGGGAGCCGTCTGGAGTTCTTTGTGCCGCCCAAGGTGAGGCCCCGGGGTGGGCGCAGTCCTGCAGGGAGCCCCGCAGCGCCCCCGCGTCCTCCCAGCTGTGTGGGTCTCAGGCAGGACTGGGAAAGCAGAGCCCGGGGATGTAGAGGGGAAGGGGTCTCTCCGCACCCCACAGCAGAGCCTCCTTCCGGTTCCCGACCTAGGCGTCTCGGCCCCGACTCAGCATTCCCTGTTCTGCCATCACGGACGTGCGGACCACCACCGCCCTGGAGATGCCGGATCGGGAGAACACGTTTGTGGTTAAGGTAGGAGCCCGCGGGTGCTCGTGCACCGGAGCAGGTGCCCTTAGGGGAAGGGGTCGTGCAAGTCAGGTGCCCCAAGACGCGTCCTTGGGCCGGGCCTGCCGCTTTTCCGGAAGGGCAATAGAAGGAGGGAGGGTAGTGCTTTCCTTCATCAGAAGCGGGGGTTGAAGGCGTCAGGGTTCGGGGAAGGGGCCTGGCGCTGGGCTGGGAACTTTCTTCTGGCCGCCTGCAGGTGGAAGGCCCTGCGGAGTATATCCTGGAGACGGCCGACGCGCTGCACGTGAAGGCCTGGGTGTCCGACATCCAGGAGTGCCTGAGCCCGGGGTGAGGAGCCCGCCTGCCGCTGCCGCAGGGCCCTGGGGCTGGGGGGCGGGGGGGCAGCCCCGTGCCGCTCACCTGGCTCACTTTTCCTGTCTCTGCAGTCCCTGCCCCACGACCAGCCCCCGCCCCATGACCCTCCCTCTGGCCCCTGGGACCTCATTCCTCACACGGGAGAACACAGACAGCCTGGAGCTGCCATGCCTGAACCACTCGGAGAGCCTGCCCAGCCAGGACCTGCTGCTGGGAGCCAGTGAGAGCAACGACCGCCTGGCGCAGGGTAAGGGCGCAGCCTTCGGGAGCTGGGCCTCGGAGCCCGCCGCGCACGCGCATGCGGCCCCAGGCGCTGCAGGTTCTCCAGCGCGCCGCCCTGCCAAAGCCCATCTTTTGTACCTGAACACGCCGCCACTCTCAGTGCCACCATTGGCTGTATTCTATAAAGATTTCATTTTTATGTATTTGAAAGGCAGAGTGACAGAAAGAGAGAGGGAGAGCTAGGTCTTCCACGGGCAAGTTCACTCCTCAAGTGACTGCAACAGCTGGGGCTGGACTGGGCGGAAGCCGGGAGCCAGGAACTCCACCCAGTTCTTCCACGTGGGTGGCAGGGGCCATGTACTGGGGTCACCGTCTTCCGCTGCGTCCGCAGGTGCATCGGCAGGGAGCTGGATGGAAGGCAGAGCAGCCAGGACTGGCACCGGCGCTCTGATGCGGGCTGCGGGCGCCACAGGCGGCCGCTGAACCTGCTGCACCACAGTGCCGGCCCCCTGTTGGCTGTTTAGAATCAGCGCCCTCACCACCCCACCCAGGCCCCGAGCAAATTCCTGTCCAGCCTTCTGCAACAGCTGTGGCACTTTGAAATTTGTATTAGCATTTTTTATTTAAAACAGATAGGCTTTTTTGCTCCCTCAGCACCCACAGTAGCTAGGGCTGAACCAGGCTGAAGCCAGAGCCTAGAACCCAATCCGGGTGTCTGACGTGAGTGTCAGGGACCCAAGTCCTTGAGCCATCACCTGCCGCACTGATAAGAAGCTTGGACCAGAAGCAGAGCTGGGACATGAACCCGGGCACCCCGTACAGGCCTGGGCGTCCTGGCTGCTGTGCTGGGCGCCCGCCCTGTGCCGTGTCGCTTTCTCCCCAAGCTGCCCACAGGCCAGCACCTCGGTTCTCCAGGCCGCCAGCACGCCGGCAAGAAATCTTAGGTTAGCTCTTCCCTGCCTCCGCGTGTCGGGCAGTGGCAGCGGCTTCCCTTTCGACTCTTACTTTCTGGCCTGACCATACACACACACAGACTGCTCCCCCTCAAACACACACACACACACAGACTGCCCCCCACACACAGAGAGACTGCTTCCCCTCAAACACACACACAGACTGCCCCCCCACAGACTGCTCCCCCCAACACAGAGACTGCTCCCCCCCCACAGACTGCTCCCCCTCAAACACACACAGACTGCCCCCACCAGACTGCTTGCCCTCCCACAACTCCCCCCTCACACACACTGCTCACCCTCCCACAACTCTCACACAGACGGCTCCCCCCACAGACTGCTCTCCTCCCATACACACACACATAGACACAGACTGCTCCCCCCGAGACTGCTTCCCTTCCCATACACACACACAAACACGTACACTGCTCCTACTCTCAGACACACAGACTTCTCCCACCCTCTCTCACACAGACTACTCCCCCCCACAGACTTCTTCCCCTCCATACATGCGTGCACACACAGACTGCTCTCCTCATACACACACACATATACAGGCTGCTCCCCCCCCCCCCACACACTGCTCCCACCCTTCCTCTCACACACACACACAGACTGCTCCCCTCATACACACACACATATAGACTGTTCCCCCTCACACACACATACATACACACACTGCCCCCACCCTCCCTCTCACAGACTGTTCCCACCCTCTCACACACCCTTACACACACACTGCTCTCACCCCTCCCAGACTACCCCCCTCCCCCAGGCCACGTGTAGACTAGGCTGCTTCTGCTGCTGCCCTGTCTCCGGCCCCTGTGTTGTAAGTTGCAGCGTCCCGGCGCCGAGAAGTCAGGCTGTCCTCAGCAAGTGAACAGAGCGGTCAGATCTCAGAGCCAGAGTGGCGCCCACAGGTGCCTTTTCTGAGGCCCTCCTGAGTGGCACTGGCAGAGCCTGCTGCCCTGAGCGCGTGTCTGCCATGTCTGTGTGGCTCCTGAGCACTGACCTCCAGGGACAGTCCGCTGGGCTCAAGTCTGCCACCCAGCAGCCACTCAGCGCGCCTGGGCCTGGCACAGGCCCTGGGCAGGACGGGGACTCACGCCCGAGATGAGCTCCTCGCCCTCCACGGATGCTGACGTCCCTGAGTGAGAAGCAGGCCCCTCAGAGCCTGTGCTTGGTGTCCTTCAAGCACACGAGCAGGAAGCGCCTTGGGAGCTCAGGGGAGGTGAGGGCCAGGAACACAGCCCAGGGAGGCAGGTGGCAGGCGGCAGGCGCAGAGGCCCAAAGTGGGGAGAGCCCAGGGTATTTGGAAAAATTAGAATGGGCTGCAGTGGAGGAGTGTGGCTACCGGTGGAGGTGAAGTTGGTTTAGCTTAGGGGCGACTGGAAGGAGCATCTTTTTTTTTTTTTTTTTTTTTTTTAAGATTGCATTTTTTTGAAAGAGAAGAACAGAGAGATCTTCCATCTGCTGGTTCGCTCCCCAGATAGGGAGTGGCTTGGGCCAGGCAAAACCCAGGAGCTTCATCCGGGTCTCCCCCATGGGTGGCAGAGGTCCAGACACGAGGTCCATCTTCCCCTGCTTTCCCCAGGCCGTTAGCAGGGAGCTGGGTGGCAGTAGAGCAGCCAGGACATGAAGCGGTGCCCACGGGCTGCAGGTGGCAGCGTCACCCGCTACGCCACAGCACTGGCCCCTGCAGGAGCGCCTTTGATGCCTCTTAGAGTTGGGGCTTTCTCTGTGGTCCTTGTCCATGTCAGTGTCCCGGGGTTCCACCCTGTCCCCGCCCCGCAGCACTGTCAGCAAATGCAGCACTTTTGGCTGCCAGGACCTCCTTGCCGGAACTCCACGGTCCCTGCGCGGTGCAGGCGGCAGCACCTGGGAGCCTTGGTGAAAACCCGCCGGGGCTGCCACCCTCAGAGGTGGGCGTTCCTGCCAGCGCACCTGGTGCTGGAGGGGAAGTGGGCGCAGGAGACCGCGCTGCAGGCCGGGAGCTCCCCAGTCCTCACCTGTGCCCTCTGTCTTCTTCTAGGGGCGTACGGGGGCCTCTCAGACCGCCCCTCGGCATCCATCTCCCCTAGTTCCGCCTCCATTGCTGCCTCCCATTTTGACTCAATGGAACTGCTACCCCCTGAGCTGCCTCCCCGCATCCCCATTGAGGAGGGACCCCCAGCAGGGACAGCTCAGCCCCTCTCAGCCCCCTACCCTCCCCTGGACACTCCGGAAACAGCCAAAGGTACCAGCCGAGTGAGTGTGTCTGTCCACCAGGCCGGGCCGCCGGCCCTCCTGGATCCTGACTGGGGATCTGCCCTGGGTGGGGGCTGGGCGAGGCGGGCCGCGAGGGGAGGAGGCGCCCCAGGCTTGCTTCTCCCCCGCTGGGGGAGGCTTCCCTGACACCCTGGTTTCCCCCCTCTCTCCTTCCTGAAGGGTCATTCCTGTTCCAGGGGGAGTCAGAGGGCGCTGAAGGGGAGCAGCCCCTCTCCGGATACCCTTGGTTCCATGGGATGCTCTCTCGGCTCAAGGCCGCCCAGCTAGTGCTGGAGGGAGGCACCGGCTCCCACGGTGTCTTCCTGGTGCGTCAGAGTGAGACGAGGCGGGGTGAATACGTCCTCACTTTCAACTTCCAGGGCAAGGCCAAGGTGAGTGACCCGGACTCCCTGGGTGGAGTGGGCCGGAGGTGGGGGAAGGGAGGGGGCTTGGGACCTGCGGGGGCTTCGGCTCCCACCTCACTTGCTCATCCTGCCCTCAGCACCTGCGTTTGTCGCTGAACGAGGAGGGCCAGTGCCGGGTCCAGCACCTGTGGTTCCAGTCCATTTTCGATATGCTTGAGCATTTCCGGGTGCACCCCATCCCCCTGGAGTCTGGCGGCTCCAGTGACGTTGTCCTTGTCAGCTATGTGCCCTCCCAGCGACAGCAGGGTGAGCAGAGCAGGTCTGCAGGGGAGGAGGTGCCCGTGCACCCAAGAAGTGAGGTGTGTGTACCAGAGAGGCGGGGCGGGGGGCTGTGAGGGGAGAGCAGGGCAGGCAGCCAGGGTCCTGCCCGCGCACGGGTCCGGCGCCGGGAGGCAGCTGAGGGTTGGGCTGGCGCATCCCCATTCCATGACTCCTGCGTTCATCATGTGTCTGTCTCCTGGAGCCGTCCCCCCAACCCCGCCTTGCCCTTCTTGGGGATGCTTGGCGTGATCCCCCTCCCTCCTCCCTCAGTGTCTGACGTCCCTGTCTGATCTCTCCCTCTCCCCCACCCCAGCGTCCCATCTGTCCCCACGTTGCCCCTCCCCCCCAGGCCGGGAGCAGGCCGGGAGCCATGCAGGGGTGTGCGAGGGAGACCGATGCTACCCCGATGCCTCCTCCACCCTCATGCCCTTCGGAGCGAGTGACTGTGTGTAAGTGTGGTCCTCCTCTCACCGCCGCCCATGATCCATCTTCACAGGGGGGGGTCGCTCAGGAGACGGGCCGCTGGGGAGACAGCACATGGCTCCGGGCAAGAGCCTGCCTCCCTCCACAATCCCTCTGTCTTCTCACCCTTCCCATCCAGAACCGAACACCTCCCGTGACCCACCCCAGCCCCCTGAACCCCCTTCATGGACAGATCCCCTACATCCTGGGGCAGAAGAGGCGTCGGGGGCGCCAGAAGTGGCGGCAGCAACAGCCGCAGCAGCCAAAGAGAGGCAAGAGAAAGAGAAAGCGGGCAGTGGAGGGGTCCCGGAAGAGCTGGTCCCCCTGGCTGAGCTGGTCCCCGTGGCTGAACTGGAAGAGGCCATAGCACCAGGCGCCGAGGCCCTGGGAGGTGCTGCGGGGGTGGGCCCGACGGTACAGCTCCAGCAGTTGCCACTAGGGGGCGACGGAGAAGAAGGGGGCCATCCCAGAGCCATTAATAACCAGTACTCCTTCGTGTGAGACACCCTACCCAACCTCCCTCCACGCTTCTTGCTCCCCAGCCCTCGGGTCTTGAGGCCGGGCCGGGAGGGTCCCAAGGAGAGGTTGGGGTCCCCTCCCCATGTGCTTCCTGACCCTCGTCGGCCAAAGGCGTCTATGTTGGTACAAGCAGAGGTTCAAGAGCCCTGTTACCTCCCTCGCGCATACACTACAGGTGCCCCGTTACCTCCCTGAGGGGCTCTTACGGTCAGCCCCACCCCTGGGGGCCATTTCCCCATTAACAACCCCCCAGCCCGTGGCAGGGTGAGGGGGGGAAGGGCTGTCAGTTATAGTAAGGTTATTGTTGTTGTTTTAAACAAAATGGAGAAGCATACATAAATAAAAGGGTTTATCTCAGTCCATGGTGAGGGCTGTGGCCAGTGTTTGCAACGAGGCCTGGGGCAGGTGGGTTGGGAAGGGGACACTGTCCGGAGGGGGACCAGAGAGCAGGCCCAGGTCACATCCCCATGGCTGTGCAGTGCTGTGCTTTGAGGCCCATCACTCCGCTGTGGGCTGTCCAGCGTGTTGAACAGGAAGTGCTGAGCTCCTTGGGGTCTCCAAGTCCCCTGAACGGAACAGCACACAAAAGGCCTAATGATTGCCCAGGGTCCTTCCTACCCTAGCGAGGAAGCAGACAGGGAGCAGGAGTCGGGGCAGGGGTCCCGGGCATGGGGACTGTCGGGAGAGGTTTACTGGGGGCAGCCGCAGGATCCAGCTGCACGGGGGCCCAAGGGCAGGTCAACTGCTCCCCTTGCTGGAGCCAGGGTGGAGAATGGCTGAGCACAGAGCACTGCTGTCTGCCCTGACCGCGGCCTGGGCGACAAGAAGCCACCCTGGGCCTTGGGCTCTGTACGTGAGGACGCTCCGAGGGCTGTGACACCACATGGGAGCCTTGCATCCGAGCTGGTGACCGCCCTCTGAAGTCAGGTGCAGCTGCACCGGGCACCTTCCAGCTGGGCCTCCTTCCCGCACCTGGAAAGCCTGGCCTGTGGGCGGGCGGGTGGGTGAGTGGGTGGGTTGGCAACACCGCCCCCGCCCCTCTTAAATTCAGGCTGTGCTCTCAGAGCTGGTCCCCAGAGCAGAGGCTTTGCCTCTCCAACAGAGGGCACCCCTGCTGTTCCCAGTCCTGGGGCTGGAAGGGCCAGGGTCTGAAGAACCACATCTATAGTGCTCAGGCCCCCTCCACTGTCCACCTCAGGCAGAGTGGAGCCCAGGCCCCCAGCCTCTGCCCCCACCTCCAGGAGGCCCTACCCGTGCCCATGACCTTGCTATTCTGGGCCTTGCGTCCTGTCAGGAGATGGACAGGAGACAGCTGGGCAGTCTGGGTGCAGACTGGGGGCTTGCCGGGGAAGCCTGCTGGCTCTCCCTGTTTTATCTCAGTCCTGGGGCTCCCCCAAACCTTGGCCTCAGGAGCCTAGGAACAGGATTGGCCTGGCAGAGAGGGCAGGGGATGCCTTGGACACCTGGGTGCTGTGCTAATGGGCGATGGCAAATGAAGGCGCTGGCGCCCCTGGGTAAGCAGGTCCTGATCCTCTCCTAATCTAGCAGCAACTGGTGCTTGGAGGAGGCTCACCCTTTCCCCAAACCCTGCCAGTCTTCGGGGACCTGCCTGCCCAAGAGGGGGCAGGCAGGGGCAGGGGACCACCCCCTAGCCCTCCAGCTAGTAGCCACCCAACAGTGGCTTTGCCTGACAGCAGCTGTCCCTCGAGGGGATGCTTTAACCGAGGTGCACAGTGGGTCGGGGATGGGCCGGCTCTTCCCTCCCCGCCTCTCCCCGGCCTCAGCTTCAGGAGGAAGAACCCCTGCCACCCTCGGCCTGGGGAACCCCCAGTGGGAGGGAGCCAATAGCGCTCTCCATCGCCAGCCTCCCTGGTAGCTCCTGGCTCCAGTTTCCCGGCTCTGGAAGGTGGGGCAAGGCAGGAATTAATCACCTTAAAGAGCCCTGTTGGCAGGGGCCTCCTGCAGAGCCTGCCTCCTTCCCTCCGTCTCCTGCTCCTGCGCTCAGCTCCCTTGAAGCTGCCCCCGGCTCCTGCCGTCCCCTCTCCATGTTTGGGCATTCCTGCTGCCACACAGTGGCCCCTGTCACTCCTCCAGGTGCTGGGGGGGAGAAGCCAGCCAGCGTCAGACCCTGGCGGGTGCTGAGCCGGACTCTGGCCTGAGTGGGTGCGTGCTGGGCCAGGTGGAGGTGCTTGTGGATGGGACCCCCCAACACTGAAACCCCGAGGTGTGACCCCCCCCATCACCACGCCCCTCCGGGTTACAGCAGGACTCGCTTCAAGGGAGGGGCTGGTGGGAACTGTGAAAAAGGGGAGGAACGGAGCGCCTTGTCCTCAGCTCACCCTGAGGCTGCTCCTCCCCCAGCACAGGCAGAAGAAGGGATTTGTCTGGGAGGCCAGATCCTTAAGTTCCATCCACCCCTGCTGGCCATCACCGCTGCCCAAGAGCCGGGCTCCCCTTTGCCTCGCCCCCCGCTTCTCCTATGCCCTTCCCTGCCTAGGAATGGCCCGAGAGTAGGAAGCAACCCTGGGAACGCTTTCTGTCCCCCATACTCCTTGTTCATTTCAGGAAACTGAGGCCATGCGGGCAGAAGGACTTGAGCCCAGGGTCACGAGGCTCCTTCCCCTCGCCCGCCTCTCCCTAGTGCCGTCCTCTGCCCGAAGCCATGGTACCCTCATCCACTCCTCCAGCAGCTGCCCCCGGGGTGGTAACCCAAAGATGCCTCAACTTGGAGCAGGGCTCCGAGCAGCTGCTTCTCCGGGGAAGCTGACACCGAGGCCAGCCGCTCCGCAACAACTTGTGGCTTTGCACCCAGCCCCAGGGTCCCCGCCCACCTGGTGGCAGACGGCCAGCTCCCTGCTGTCCTGTCCCTCTTCCCCACTGCTCCTCAGACTTCCCTCTGACCCCGGGCAGGGGCAGCGCTGTCCCGGGCTCCCTCTTCCCCGCCCGCCCGGTCTCTGTCCTCATTTCCCCCAGACTTGTCCCCAGAACCGTGCCCCTCCCCCACCCCTAGCTCTGGCACCTCTATTTCTCCAGTTCCCCAGGCCCCTCTCAGTGGGACAGGCCCAGCTCCTGAGCGCACAGCACAGGTCTGGTCCCCGTGCCCTGTGAGGGCAGACGCACCACGGCCCAAGGGAGCGAACACCCATGTCTCGGGGTCCACTACCTAAACCCCTGGGGTTCAAGCGCGCACGGGTGCGAGGAGGTGACCCTCCTTCCATGCCTTATGGTGACCCCCGCCCCCACCCTGGAAGTTATCCCTCTCCCTTCACCATCAGCACATTCTGTGGCCTCTTGGGTTACCCGGCTGCCTGGGTGTCCCGTTTTCTGGGGCGGGGGGGATTCCCGGTCAGGGATGGGGGGGCCCTGGAGGCCGTGTTCCCAGAGGCTGAGCTGAGCGATGGCGCGGGGGGCGGGGGCGGTTTAGAGGAGAGACAGGCAGTCCTGGCTTTGCTCACCAGGGCCTGGACACTAAATCCCTTGTTGATGGCTGTGGCAGCCCCTCCCTAGGCTAGGGTTACCATCTTCTGCCCTGTCCCCTTGACCCTCTCCCCTCTCTGCTTCCCCTCGTCCCTCTACGGCCACTTCCTCTGGCCCCCAAAAGATACCCTCCCCTGCGTCAGTCCCCTGCAGGCTTGGAGTAGCTGCTCCTTCAACAAAGTCGACAAGGAGAGTGGCAGTGGACACCAGTCCAGGGTGGATGGGAGAGGAAGGGAGACTTGAGGCTCCAGGGTGGCGGGGGTCTTTGGGGCAGAACCGGGGACTTCAGCAACCCAGGGGAAGTGGGGGTGATTGCGGGGGGGTCGGTAGCAGGACACAGCAAGTGCAGTCCCTCCCTGCCCCCCTTCCCTGTGGCTGGGGCCACTTTTGCTTTCCTCATGAGTGACATCTCAGCTGCAGCCCCACTGTTCCCCCTCTGTCAGCAGAAATATCTCTCTCCTCTGACCCCTCCTGCTGAAGGATCGGCCAGCCAATCCCTGATCTGGGGGAGGGGGGAGCCTGGCCCCCCCCACTCCCTCATAAAGACCAGCTGGGGGCTGGGGGGGTGGCCGGCTGCTACAAGTGGGACTGGGGTCAGAGCTTCGTGGAGGGAAGACAAACCTGGGGGGGGCAGGAGAGGAAAAGGAAGAAGCCCAGACCGACAGGCAGGAGGATACACTGAAGAAGGCCCCCGACGCGTGAGACCCCCCCAGAAGGAACCCACTGCTCCTGGGGCCCCCAAGAAGGGAGCGCAATGGAGGCCGCGCACTCCAAGAGCACAGAGGAATGTCTGGCCTATTTTGGGGTGAGCGAGACCACAGGCCTCACCCCGGACCAAGTGAAGCGACATCTAGAGAAATACGGCCACAATGGTAAGTGTCCCTCGAGGAGAGGCTGGGGACTCTCATGCACCCTGCGCACGGGGGCGCGCATGCGCGCGCGCACACACACACACACACACACACACACACACGGGAGCCTCTCCCTCCAGGGTATCTACTGTGGTCCAGGGGTGGGGGCGGGGACACTGAGAAAGCAAGTCTCTGAGATCCAGAATGATTCTGGTGAACCTCAGATGCCCTTTGGGTGGCTTGATTCCCTTACCTTAGCCACAAAGTCCCGGGTGTGGGGAGCGCGAGGCTGAACCCCAACTGAGTATGTCCTTTTGTTCTTTTTCCCTGGGTAGAGCTTCCTGCTGAGGAAGGTGAGTTACCCGAATCCCTGAGCTCTTGCTCCCTGGCCCTCCCACTCCTGCCCTCTGCTCTCTAGTTCCGGGGCTGCTCTTTGCAGCCTCTCAGGCAAATACCCCTTCCCCAAAGGGCAGACATTCCACCCCAAAGGTTAGAGCCCAGCCAGGGCTAGAAGTCTCTGGCACCTTCTCCTAAGACACCCAACCCTTAACAACTGCCTCCACCTCAAGGAGCCGGAGCTGGGGGGTGGTCCCTGCCCTTCCCCCCACTCCCTACCCCGTGAGCTGCCTGCCAGTCACCCTAGGGGCTGCAGACCCCCCTACTGCAGCCCCCGGCCACCCCCACCCCCGCCCGGCCCCAGCCTGCCCTCAGGGGACTTGACCCCGCGGCCTCTTTCCCCAGGGAAATCCCTGTGGGAGCTGGTGATAGAGCAGTTTGAAGACCTCCTGGTGCGGATTCTTCTGCTGGCCGCCTGCATCTCCTTTGTAAGTGTGTTGGGGTGGGGTGGGGGCAGCTGGGGGCTGGCTGGGGGGGCGAGGAGCGTGTGCGCGCAGCTGGGCCCTCAGCCGTGGGCGGCTCCCCGGATCCCCCAGCGCCGAGCCCCGAGCATCCTTGTTCTACAGAGCAGAGCTGGGAGGCTGTGGGACGCTGATTCTCGTCCTCCTCTGGCCTCCCCCACACCCTGCAGGC